TGTCTGTCAAATAAATAAATAAAATCTTTAAAAAAAAAAAAAATGAGCAGGAAAGCTGGAGGAGATAAAAGGCCAAGGGCCTTTTGAGTCGCCCAAATAGGAGGGGCTTGGACTTGTCCTTTAAGAGAGACAAGCCACTGAAGAGTGACAGGTTAGCTGACCGGTATTGGTGGCAAGATGGGAAAAGGTTGCCAGAGAGCAGCCCCGCGCCCAAGTCTATTTGTGGTCGAAGGAATTGGAGAAGCAGGTGTAGTTTCAGGAAATGTCTGAAAGGAAGGGCAAAGAAGCCTTCAACAGGCAACAAAAGGCAAATCACATCTGCCTCACAGAGTTACTGGGAATCGAAATTGAACTGTTTAAGTGTCTGGAACAGAGCCCGGCCCACAGTAGGGAAGCACTGAGTTCTAGCTATGTATTCTCCAAAGAATTCCATTCTGGAAACAGTTCCCGAGCTCCTAGCTTAGTCAGTCTGTTGTTCTCGGTGCCCGGGATAGAGTTGAGCAGGTGAGCCACGGTGTGGTCCTTAAGTGGCAAGAATATTATTATTAGACTGTTAGCTGTAGGGTACAGTGAATCTATTCTGTTGTTATTTTTATTCCCCTAACCCCTGCAGCTGCCACACCACACGCACACGCACACACGCACACGCGCACACGCACACACACACACACCCTTAGTGACATGTACTAGGCCTTTTAACACTCCTCACTCCTCCCATTTTCTAAGCTCTCTGGTAGGAAATGTGCCCCAGCCAAGTGGAACTGTTTAACTTGGGAATCTGTCTTGGACCATGTCACACCCTGCATGGCACGAGAAGGGCCCCTGCTGGCCTGCCTTAACCCCTGCAGAGAATGAGAGGTCCCCCTATACCGATGGGTACACTGAGACTTTACTAGGATGTTTACAGGGTTTTGCTCCTTTTCCCTTTTTTTTTTTGAAATAATTCTTGGCAGAGAAGGTTGGTCACTTGGACCTCCGTGGCCTGCCCGTATCTGTTTTTCTCTCTAGCTCGTCCAGCGCATGCTCATTTCCACAGCTTTAAACACACTGCCTTAGAATCCTGTCTGTTTTGTACAAGCCACCGATTACACACTGTGAAGCGGTCTTTCCCTTCCCTTGCCTTCTCCTCCATTACCCAGCTGCTTCAGACGCCTTAAAGTTGTTGCTAATCGAGGCCCATACTTGATAGTGGTAAGTGAGCACGACTTTAAGCAATGGAGTAGTGTTCACCTGTTTCAGCAAGATGGCGTTGACTGCGAACCATTACTTGGTGCCAAAGTCTTATTTGCACGTGTTCCTGATAAGCGCCCAACGACAACAGCCGCCCAGGGTTTTCACGGAGCACCCTTGCAGCGCACAGCACTCCGGGCTACGCTGCTTGCACATTGGCCAGCCTACTCAGTGAGGAGGGTTTTCGTTTTCTCTTCTGACACAGTTTACCTTCCCTCCTTACAGAAACCTCATGTACGGTGTGGTGAAGCTCATGAAGATTGTGGGGCAGCTCTCGGATAAATTTTACTACACAGATTGTCTCTTCTTTGGAGCGATTATCTCTGCCACTGACCCAGGTATTTTGCATATTTGGCTTTGTCACCATGGCATTCCATTATTTCAGTCTTAAAATGTTCAGAGCAACCAGCGACTTTGGTTGCAGTAGACGGAGATTGTAGAGTCAGCATGGAATGATGGAGGAAGAGATCAGGAAGTGGTCTAACAGAGTTAGAGGGCTTTTCGAAGAAAGGTGTGCATTTCCCTTTTGGTTTTGTTATTAAGATTTTATTTATTTGAGGGGGGAGAGAGGACTTGCGTGTGTGCATGTGCGCATGGGCAGGGGAGGGACAGGGGGAGACGGAGAAGCAGGCTTCCCGCGGAGCAAGGAGCCTGATGTGGGGCTCGATCCCAGGACCCCGGGATCATGACCTGAGCCGAAAGCACATGCTTAGCCAACTAACCCACCCAGGCGCCCCCTTATTATTTTCGTATTGTGCTAAAAAATACATCACAAATTTTAGCATCTTCATCAGTTGTAAGTGTGTACAGTTCGGCAGTGTCAAGTCCCTTCGCACTGTCGTGCAACCAGCCTCCAGACCTTTTCATTTCTCGAAACTGGAACTCTGTATGCAATAAACAATAAGTCCCCCATTTCCAGCTCCCTCCAGGCCCCAGTGAGCACCATTCTTCTTCCTGTCTCTGTGAGTGTGACTACCGTAGCTACTTTATAGAAGGTGGAATCATACGGTGTTTGTTTGTGTCTGGCTTATTTCACTCCACGTAGTGTCTTCGTGGTTCATCTGTGTGGTAGCACGGTGTCGGAGCTTCCTTCCTTTTCAAGACTGAGTAATATTCCCCATGCACCTGCACCACATTCTGTTTACGCATCTGTCCACAGCGGACACTTGGGTTGCTTCTGCCTGTATTTCCCTTTTGTCTTTCATTTTAGAATGTCTAATATGGCCATAATTTTTACACTTAGCCTGTCTTCTTCCTCAGTGTGGTGCTTTCTCCTTCATTTAGGAAATTATATCATTTCATTTAAACAAGACCTTTTCTTAGTGGAAGTGCACACCGGTACCTGCAGTGAATGTACTGTCCTTTGTAACCTCCTCTTTTGCTCAGTGTTCCTGCATAACAGCACACTGTGACCTGGTTCCTATTCATAAATCTCTTACCTTGTACTTTCCGAGTGTCAGTCGAGCCACTTCTTAAAAGTGGAATTATTATATGCCCGCCCTGCTCTGCAGCTCAAGAACAAACAAGAAAACCCTCCCTTTTCCAAGTTGGAACCTATAATTAAATCAGTTCACATAAAATAGTTACAGCTCTTCCTTCCTCTGATGTCAGCCATTGAGAGGACATCGTCAGCAAAGAACTTACAGAGAAAGAGAGGGTGCTGTCCCAGTAGTGGAGGTGGAAAGGTCTTCTCAACATCTATGATGCCCTCTAACATTCTGGACAGTAATGATTTTAAAGATACTAAGATTCTCCCCACAGAGAACATTTCTATCATCGCACTGATCTGGAGGGCTCCCACGAGGCATGGTACAGTGGGGAGAACTGTTTTTGTAAATTAAAAGTCTTTTACCAGCTTCCTAAAAATCTGTTATTTGAAAACTTGGGCTATAAAAGAGATAAAAACTTAAGTGCAGA